ACTATTAAAACTGATGTGTAGTGTAGTGTCGATTCGGACTAATAATTGTTGGATTGATTTAACACATTATGTGTGAAATCACTTACACTGTAATGATATGACATAAATGTGTACAGTATTCGTGTGCTTAGCAAGTAACTTGGTAAGTAGCTTGGTAAGTAACGACTTACCGGTCACTATGAGCTGCGTTTCCATCATTTCGGAGCCGACGCTGTTATTAACGGTACAGCGATAGACACCGGCGTCCGACTGCAACACTTGGCTTATCCGTAGGGATCCGTCCAATTGGCGCACCCTATTGAACGCCAACTGTCGTATGGGTTGAGCATTTCGGGCCCATATGTAGTTAGGCACGGGATAGCCCTGAGCCGCACAGGCTAACTCCACATCCTCGCCCTCCTTAACCATTACCACAGGCTTACTGTCCGTTATTCTGGGCGGTTGGTTACTAAACGCTTCTGTATTTCATAAAAATTAAATATATCTTTCAATTAAGCCTTATATTCCTTACAAACATTTGTTTGTCATTAATATTAAGAACAAAGAATTAGCTCTAAAAAACAATTTAGGCTTTTATCCTAATATGTGCTTAAATTTGCATAAAAAATATAATTTATTATAAAAACCTTTCTCTAAGAAAATATCTGAATATGCAATTATATGCGCGGTTTATAGCAGTCTCTCTATTTATTTACTAAAAATAACAAAATATGAAAAATTATTTATAATTATCTCTACTTTCTTATAAAGTGCGAACAAAATTCAAACTTATGTTAAATAAGTATTAGTTTATGAATAAATTTAAATAATACTGCTCTTACAATTATAGCTCAAAATACATTTTTATTTCCTTTTTATACACTTAACGTTAAATATTATTGTATTTCAAAATTAAAACAAATTTTTAGAGCATTTTTCACTTTTTAAACAATTCTCACAAATGAGAGTATTTGTGGTCAAAGCCTCTGAACATTAATGAGAAGTCGTTTAAACTTATTTGAAAAGTAGCTTAAGATTTGAGTACTTTTCTCAACCATTTCTCTCATTTATAGTGCAATAGAAATGGAGAGAAAAAACATAAAAATCATAAAATTTAATGGAATTTATTTCCCAAAAATTATTTTTTAAAGCAAATAATATTATTGTAATCAAAAGCTCTATTAAAACAAATGGTTGGAAAGTAATGACGAAATAAAATAAATAAAATAAAGCAAATATTTGGCACAAAACGGAGCCCTCAATGAATGGTTAAGTGCGGTGAGTGACTGAGTGACATACCGGTGACGTAGAGGCGTCCGACCGATGAGCTGATGAGTGTCTCTCCGGTTAATCGATGTCTCACTTGACAGCGATATGTCTTCAATGCGTCGCTTTGTTGGACGCGACGGATGTGCAGCTCTCCCGACGAGAAGATAGAGAAGCGATCGCCTGATTTGTATTGAATGAATGAATGGGTTAAACAGAGAGAGAGAGAGAGAGAGAGAGAGAGAGTGAGTGAGAGAGTGAGAGAGAGAGAGAGAGAGAGGGAGAGAGAATCCACTTATTCATTGTGAACCGAAATTCTTTTACACTTTGGTTTTCATACACTTAAGAGAATAACACACATAAAGAATATACAGAATATTGCACTCGTTTTTTGCTTATATATCGTATATATTATTGAATCAATTCTGATGGCAATACAAATGATATGCACTCGTGTTTCAGACACATAACGACTCCATCAGAGACCGGCTCTTGAGGTCAATTCCCATCAGAATCGCCGCAAACAAAGCCATTGACCATAAGTTTTCTTGCCATCAGTTTTATATTATTACATATATTTTTCGCTGATATATAGTTATCCTCTTTATCTCCAGTTCTTTCAGTTGAATATTACTATAATTCAATATACAGTCCATATATCAGTACAGAATATCTCGAGAAGCGAGAGATAGTATCCAATAAATAGACAGTTTTTGCATAAAAACCGTATTATATTTCGCATAAAATATTTTGAGATACATTTTATATTCAAATCAGTAAANGAAGACATATCGCTGTCAAGTGAGACATCGATTAACCGGAGAGACACTCATCAGCTCATCGGTCGGACGCCTCTACGTCACCGGTATGTCACTCAGTCACTCACCGCACTTAACCATTCATTGAGGGCTCCGTTTTGTGCCAAATATTTGCTTTATTTTATTTATTTTATTTCGTCATTACTTTCCAACCATTTGTTTTAATAGAGCTTTTGATTACAATAATATTATTTGCTTTAAAAAATAATTTTTGGGAAATAAATTCCATTAAATTTTATGATTTTTATGTTTTTTCTCTCCATTTCTATTGCACTATAAATGAGAGAAATGGTTGAGAAAAGTACTCAAATCTTAAGCTACTTTTCAAATAAGTTTAAACGACTTCTCATTAATGTTCAGAGGCTTTGACCACAAATACTCTCATTTGTGAGAATTGTTTAAAAAGTGAAAAATGCTCTAAAAATTTGTTTTAATTTTGAAATACAATAATATTTAACGTTAAGTGTATAAAAAGGAAATAAAAATGTATTTTGAGCTATAATTGTAAGAGCAGTATTATTTAAATTTATTCATAAACTAATACTTATTTAACATAAGTTTGAATTTTGTTCGCACTTTATAAGAAAGTAGAGATAATTATAAATAATTTTTCATATTTTGTTATTTTTAGTAAATAAATAGAGAGACTGCTATAAACCGCGCATATAATTGCATATTCAGATATTTTCTTAGAGAAAGGTTTTTATAATAAATTATATTTTTTATGCAAATTTAAGCACATATTAGGATAAAAGCCTAAATTGTTTTTTAGAGCTAATTCTTTGTTCTTAATATTAATGACAAACAAATGTTTGTAAGGAATATAAGGCTTAATTGAAAGATATATTTAATTTTTATGAAATACAGAAGCGTTTAGTAACCAACCGCCCAGAATAACGGACAGTAAGCCTGTGGTAATGGTTAAGGAGGGCGAGGATGTGGAGTTAGCTTGTGCGGCTCAGGGCTATCCCGTGCCTGACTACATATGGGCCCGAAATGCTCAACCGATACGACAGTTGGCGTTCAATAGGGTGCGCCAACTGGACGGATCCCTACGGATAAGCCAAGTGTTGCAGTCGGACGCCGGTGTCTATCGCTGTACCGTTAATAACAGCGTCGGCTCCGAAATGATGGAAACCCAGCTCATAGTGACCGGTAAGTCGTTGCACACGAATACTGTACACATTTATGTCATATCATTACAGTGTAAGTGATTTCACACATAATGTGTTAAATCAATCCAACAATTATTAGTCCGAATCGACACTACACTACACATCAGTTTTAATAGTTATATACAGATGTGTAGTGCCATTGAGAGCGGCGTCCAAATTACGCCATCATTACTCGCACTGCCATTACTATTATTGTTATCATTAGTACACAATTCTTGCCTTTTATTTGTTTAAATCCCTGTTCCCTGACTGCTATTTGTATAAATCTTAAGCTTCAAATCCATATTAAGAGTTAATGTATTTCCTATGTTTGCAAATGTCATCAAATATGCTGCAGATATGAAATAAATTCATCAAATTTTATTGACTTTTATTATCAATTGAAATATATTTTCCATTATGTGTTGCAGAGAAATATAATAAAGCATTAGATTTTCTGTAATTTATTTCTTTCATAAAATGTTTAATTCATTTAAACTTTTCTCAATTGAATGTATCTCTAAATTAAAGGCATTTGTCTCTATTGTGTGTCGAAACCATTTTTTCACTTTTATTTTTCATTCTTTTCCTTTTCTTTGATTGTGTCGTCTCTCTCTCTCTCCCTCTCTCTCTCTCTCTCTCCGCCACCGTATATATGACTTTCTATCAGTACTTTCCGGCCGATAATTCATAGCATTTGCAGACAATCTGAAACTCATATAAGATATACAGTAATTCATACAATTTCCTAACACTATTAAATACAATACATACACATATTCTCAATATACAGACTCACAGTCATCAACACTTTCTTTACCTAATTCTGCATTTACTGTACGATAGCCTCGCTGTCGGCCGAAATGAGTCCCCGAATCGAGAGGGTAGACGTGGGAAAGGGAGCTCAACTGAACTGCACGGTGTCGGGCACTCCAGTGGTTGCGCTACAATGGCTACACAACGGCCAACCCGTCGCCACAAACAGTCGGATCCGATTACTCGCCAGAGATGTGCTCCACATCTCAAACGTCGAGCGCCGCGACAAAGGGATGTATCAGTGCTTAGCCCACAATGATTTGGATTCAGTGCAGGCGAGCGCACAAATTGAGCTGGGAGGTAATCACCATCATGTACCAGTTGATACACCAACACGACTTATCATCCATACCATACCATTCCTCTCCCCCACCCTTTCCACTCGACTCCTATCCCCACTCCGGTCTCATCTAAATTCAATGCATAACTCGCTTTACATTTGACTCTTTTCTCTATTGTTTTCACTTCTCGTCTCAATTGTCTTCAATTGTCTTTCCATTTAATTCTTTGTTTATCTTTTTGTCACTTAATTTAACGCAACATAAAGACGACGCTCCGGTCTTTTTGTCCACGTTTTCCGAGCAAACCCTACAACCCGGTCAGGGATTGTCGCTAAAGGTATGCCCTTTTCAAACATAATACGACTTTTTAATTGATTTTTTAGGTCGAGAGTACGAAAATTGATTTTATAATTAGATTATAATTTCAAACTTAATTTTGCATTAATTTTGCGTTCACTCTAACGTCATATGACATGACTTTCTTGTCTTGTCATTACTCAAGCAATTTGTTTATATTCTAATTCCGAAGTTATTTTCTTTTGTGTGCATCCCTTTCCCTCCCATCCCTGCCATTTGCGCTCGAGTTTTGGCATTTCATTAGACTTTTGAGCCAAACATATGACTCGAGTTTTCCGATTCAGAGAACGCTTTCGGAATCGTTTGCAATGAGATTATAGACAGACATCTGAATCTCAGCGCAGGGTTTGTGTCGATTGGATCACACAATTGAAAAGAGGATTTCATACAAAAGACTAAAACAAAATACAATGCAAAAGGCAAAAGTAGTGAATAATAGGAAAACTAAACACAAATGTTGTTATTGTTATCCATTTGTTTATAATGTAATGCAAAGAACGGTTCAGTCAATGATTTGCCACAAAATTCTCTGAACTACTTGTAAATCACGAAACTTATCGCTTAGGAGAGAATAAAGCCTTTATTTGATGACAATTTTCTAAAACATGTACTCAATTATACTTATATTACAAAATAAACAAAAATTATTGATTACTAAATGCCGTCAAATTCTGTACTTCCAGTGCATTGACTTACTGTCGACACAAACATATACTAATTGCATATTATATATCATAGTAAGACATGTCGACCCTTTCGCTACTAATTAATATTTTACAAAATATCAACAATTTTTTAATTAAAAATACGGACCCATTGTCATCCATCAGAGTTTCCTATCGCATGCTATATAAATATTCTGTGATTTAAACACAGGAATACACTATTAATATATTACAGTCGTAAATAGATTAGAGCTACTGTACTATAATATGATATAATTTAATTTCAGGATTACTTTAATAAAGATATGACTGAAAAACATAAATCGTGTGTTTGTGTTGTATGACATAATTGAGAAAGTAATAAATTTATTAAAAGTCATTATTATTATTATAGTTATGCATAGAATTGTTTTGTCGAGCGATTCAATGGCTGTAAAGAATTAAAAACTAGTAAATCATTACTATTATAGTATGCATTGTATGACTCGCTTATAATTACATAGAAGTTATGGCATCAGAATTATAGTGTGTTTTGAATGTAGATTTTATTATTTGATTTGACATTTATTTAAGGCATTATTCCAGACGTATATTTATCTGTTAGTTAGCTATGAGTGTCATATAAATTGAATTACAAATAAGATTTTAATGCAATTGAAACACAATATTCGTGTCTATAATACCAGCAAAAACAGAGGGCCGTTATGTTTCTTAATTATGATGTATTACTCGCACTAATCGTACAAAACACAACACATCTCCTAATTATGAGCGGAAACATAAGTTTTATTATTTTCCACAAATACAATGCTCTCAATATTGGAGACATTTATAGATAGCAAATGCCATCATTGCCCACAATATTAACTCTATTATATCCATAACATTAAGTACTCATTTTCATACAACTTCTCTATCATTTTCATTAAAGCAATTAAATAGCACACAATTATTGTAAAAGTTTTATTTTAACTGTGTAATTAAATTAAATTAAATGATTTAATAAAATTCACTATAATACCAATTTATTTGAACAGTGTGTGGCGTCTGGAAATCCCATACCCCAGGTTACGTGGCATTTATACGATGCCATACCAGTGCCCGATAGTTCCCGGTATAGAACCGGCGATTATGTGACTCGTGAGGGCCTTCTCGTGAGTTATGTGAATATATCGAGCATTTCATCGGAGGGTAAGTCTCACTAATCTGTTAATAAATCCTATGTTTGGTTATTAAGCGCTAAATGTGTTGATTGACTGAACAGATGGAGGACTGTATACGTGTTCGGCAGCCAATGATGTGACGGCTGTGGGACATACGGCGCGCATCAATATATATGGAAAGCCCAGCATTAGGCCAATGCCTAACATGACGGCAGTGGCCGGGGAGAGGATGTCGTTGACCTGTCCTACCGGTGGATATCCTATCGATGTCATTATATGGGAAAGAGGTATACATTAGCGCAATATCTTAGCCATTATTGAGCATTATTTCGGTGGAGATTACCATAAATATGATAACAAATAAAATGCATTCACGTCTTATGTCGAAAACATTTATTGTATTATATTTTTAGTGCAAATGAAAGCGAAAACAATGCAAACAATGGATTCAGAAATGCATTAAAGAATGTCATTATTTTCACTTTTCTTGAGACCAGGATTTTCACAGATTTTTGCTTTTATATCGTATTAGGAGATAAGTGTTAGTCATTTGCAGTGCTATTAATTAAACGTTTAGAAAATTACTTCTGATTACCATTTGTGTCGTCTTTTTAATCTAGAATTTGTTTTGAGCGTCAATTACATGCTATTTATATAATCAATGAATGCCTTTCAAGCACTTATCCGGCTAACTGTGCGCTAACTGTGGCACTGGTACTCTTGGCATTCATACAGTACTCGATGCCATCCATTATCATTGTGTCTCATATGAAGCGAATCATTGCCATTGCATTCACTATTGAATCCCAATATGTCATAACAAAAAACTTTGAGTTTGTGTTGAGTTTACGCGTCATTAATGAATTGTATGATGAGTTCAACGACACGTTTGTCCCATAAATTAATTTAAATTAAGCCCAATATATGAGAGCAAAGCAATTGAGGGAACAAATCATTTTTAATACATTGACATAACAGCCCTATGTTTAGCAACGATAGCTAACTTGTTATTAACTGCCAGTCCTTCGCTATGCCTTTTCATATAAGTCTGCAAATGACACTTCAGGGCAAAACATTTCCTCTTATTTTCTACTTGACATCACTTTACATGCCTTTCACCTAAAAATTGTGTGTTTTTCTGCAATATTATACTCGGAAAACAAAGAGATTGCAAATTGTAATCAATTGAAACCTACGGCAAAACTAGGCATAAATAATAGCCATTTTCCAGCGTATAATTGGCTGCGAAATAGTGAGTTGTGTGTTGTTATTGATACGCGAGATAAACCGTTCAGACAAGTGTATCATTTGTGAAAAATTTTCAATTTCTAAGGCACTTAATAGTTGGAGAGTCACTACACATAAGAGACTATTCTCTGTGCAAAAAGAGAGCACTTTTGATGAGCATATTCTCGACACAACTATTTATAGAAAGCATTTGTATTTGTATTTTACACTCAAATCACACCTCAATCTAATTGATGACTCTTTTGATGCGGTCTTTTGTGCAGAAGGAGTACGTCTTCCTTATAATCACCGGCAAAAGGTGTTCCCAAACGGCACCCTAACTGTCGTCGACCTGGAGAGGGCTACGGATGAGGGACGGTATACCTGTATCGCGCGACAGACCAAGGAATCCAAGAGCGCTCAGGGATCTCTATACGTGCAAGTGTTGGGTAGGAAATACATATTTTATTTAAACAAAAACCTCGCATTTATTGCTATTTTATAAATATTTAATATATGGTTAACGCCTTCGCCATTCACTTCCCATTTTATATATTAATGGCGTTAACACTCTCATTGTGTAATACATTATATAAAAGCATTGAATGACTATTTTGTGCAAACATTTTGAGGTGGTATACGATATGCTCCCATATGTTCGCTAATAGATAAGACAAAAGTCTATTAATTTAGAGCATTCTTTGGCCATAAATTTATTTTCTCTCATCCCTTCACTTCACTCCCGGAGTTAATTGATGTGAAAAACAAATATTAAAAATATCTGTAAAACACTATTAATAATAGTGTAGCGTATTGTGTATACCACTCGTCTAAAACTATACTTATGATCCCCTAATGGATCCCATTTTTTCTAATGACCATTGATTTTAATCATTACATTATGTCAGGCATTAATAATTTGTGTTTTGTTGTGTTTAATCGCTATAATTACTGAACTTTTATTCAAATTAAATATCAAATTATCACTTAAAACACAGCGATTTAACTAATAATGATTTGCACATAAAAACTCAATTTAAACAATGCTTTCAGATTTAATTCAATATTCTTTATAACACTTAATAATAACAATAAATAATTAGTTCAATAATTGTTATTCTTGTCTCATATGGTGTGTTATATCTGTGGTCTTATCCCAACAGTCCGGCCAATCATTGAACCGTTTATTTTTCCCAAATCCTTACATCAATCACAACGATATAATTTGTTGTGTACTGTTGTCAAAGGCGATCAACCAATTCAGGTATCTATTCCTCACTTCTCTCTCTCTCTCTCTCTCTCTCTCTCTCTCTCTCTCTTTCTCTCTCCCTGTCTCTCTCTCTCTGTCTCTGTCTCTCTCTATCTCCCTGTCTCTCTCTCTCTCTCTCTCCTCTCATTCACTTCACTTATCATTGTTTCAAAAATCATTACTTATTATTGTCAGACAAAGCGAATGTAAAAACTTTTTACTTTCACAAACAAATTGATTTCGATCTGAACTTTCTTTTCTTATTATTTCTTCAACTTTCTCTAAAAAACACAAACCTTTATACAAAATCAGATCGAGTGGTATAAAGACGGACACAAACTGACGAATGGATTTTTAGCCAAAACTAATTTAATTCATGTGACCGAATACTCGCTGACACTGGCCTTTGAGTCCGTACAACCTGATCACCGGGGTATACATACAGACAATTTAATTATCATATTATAAAAAACAATTTCCACGTTAACTGGTATATCACATGGATAACATTGTTATGTGCTTTTTTGCGTTGACTACTGGACAGGCAATTATACGTGTGTGGCCTCAAACGCAGCTGGAAGTAGCAGTCATAGCGCCTCAATGGTTATACACGGTATGGGTTGAGCCAAACAACCAAACATTATTAGAAATATTTTTTATATCTCACTCAAAGTTTTTCATTATTTTTTATTATCATTTTTTTCGTGTGTTTGCGAGACTATACGTTAAATGAAATAATTTTAGCACTACTTTTACTTTTGACTTTTGTTTTGGTATTTTTAAGAATAGTTTCTTTCTGTTTGTTCTCAAGAATTATTTGTGAAATCTTTAATAAATCAAATTTTAATGAGTTTTAAGTCTATCCCTATTTCTCATGTCTTAATTCTTAACATTTATTTGAGTCACGTTTAATAAAAATTTAATATTTTCCTCGAAATCCAATTAAATTAGAAAAAAGGGATTTTTACTCGAGTTAATGGTTTTAAATATTTTCCGTATTTATTATACTTTTAATAATTAAGAAGAAATATATAGGATTAGGTTATTTATCTCTTTAAGACTTTAATATATTTTTGAATAAATTTTTAAAATGACTTATAAATGTATGGTATGTTTAGTGCCCCCGCGGTGGCGAATAGAGCCGATCGACACGTCTGTTGTGAAGGGCAGGAATGCTATTATCGATTGCGATACCGACGCCTATCCGCCTCCGACTATTAGTTGGTCCAGAGCTGAAGGTAAGACATCGCACACACCATACGATTCCCACTCTATTCCCACTTTCCATATGATCTCTGCATTGACTGATGTATTGAAGAGATTTTTGTGAAAATCGGAATTTTCTAAACGATAACAATAACCCATAAAATAGCGAGAGTTTGACTCGAAAAAAACGAGAGGCTTATTATGCGGTAGTCTTACACTGAGACATAAAATTGAAGTACAGATAAAGTGTAAGCAAAACAGTGCTCGCATGCGATATATATATTGAATGGGAATTGAGTGAATATATTCTTTGATCACCATTTAATGATAGGAATAGATATACTTTTAGTTATAAATTTGTTCGCATTTAGTGTTTGTTTTCTCTCTCCTCTCTGTTGTACTCCGTATTGAGAGACGACAACAGCAAAGAAAAAGCCAAACGAAAGGCAAAGAAAAATCTGATGGAAAATAAAATGGCTTTTAGTTTGAATGTTAGGCAATGAATGCGAAAAGAATGAAACGAATAGTCCTTTAGATTACTGGAGATCTATGTTTGCGATGAAATGTTTTGCTCACAAATTCACGAAATTGTTTGCAAAATAAGTATTCGTTGCGAACATTAATGGCATTCAATTCGCGAAATGACTTTTAGTCTGATTTGAATTTCAAAATAATTTTTAAGTTAGAGAAAAACACAAATTGCTATTTATTTTTATGTTTGCCTTTGTATTGCAATTATTCTGTTGTTATTTGATTAAGAAATTAAGATAATTAAAGAAAAACTTTGGAAAAAAGTGTTTTGTTTTTTCATTCAAATTAAATTTGATTATAACTACATTTCAAGAGAGTTGTATAGAGATATGATTTTCAGCTTTTGTTTTCTTATTAAGAAAACTAATTAAAAATGTGTATAAAATCATGAGATTATAGTTGTATTCAATTTACATGTAATCTGTTTTTCACTCGAAAGCCACTTCCCTGCATAACCTCTCAGTTACTCTATTTGTTTTTGTATTCAGACATTGCTTTTTATATTACTATAATACCGGAGTCCGTATGCAATGACTTATAGCCTATGAATTTCACACAAATCGTATTCACAAATAACTAGTAATTAGGACTGGAATTTGAAATTGAAATCTAATGGTAGATGAGTTGTTAATCAGAATTAAGGCTAAAATTAACATAAAACTAAATGTAATTAACGATTAGATTTTTAGTAATCAGGGCTCGAATTCTAAATAATTATTGTTAACAGCATTTCAACTGTTTTTCAATTAGTGTTTTAGCTTTTAGGCTCATGTTTACAATAAATGTCAGTATTTTCTCAATTCAATGGAGAATAACTGGTAATTTAAACATAAACAAAAAAGTTTTTACGAAAAAATATATATATTTATTTTGCATTCAAAATCAAATAAATTTGAATAATTCAAGAATTATTGCCTCAATACGGGGATTCAAATAAAACTAACAAATCTTTATATATATATATATATTGTATATAAAAAGTATATTTAGAATATTGCTGAAAAATAAAAATTTTCTGTATAGAAATCTCTTACTTTTATTAAATTTTTTCGTAATAAAAGTTAATGTATTTTTGTTACGAAAAACAAAAAATAAAAGGAAAAGAGAAATGTATGTTATGTTTGGATAAAACCTTATATACAAAGACGTCGACAACAAAATCCCTGACAAAAGAGTGGAGAAATATATATATAAATATAAATTCGTTTTTGCCATCAGTTTTCATATTTATATCTGTAGTCGCATTGCCTTTGCTTTTGACCCTAAAAGCGAATCTCTATATAAATATTCGTTGAGTTAAATCCTCGAAACTAAAGCTTTTTCAATATGTTTGTCATAATATTGTTAGGATTACTGCGAGAGCCTCCCAACGAGTTTAAGTCGATTACATCCAATTCCCATTTGCGTCCGTATGAGAACGGGTCGCTCGCCATACATAACGCACAGAAAGCCGACAGCGGGTACTACATGTGCGCCGCCACTAACGGCATAGGAGCCGGGCTCAGCAAAGTCATCAAACTCACTGTCAATGGTAAGGCATCCCTTCCCTCCACCATTCAAACTGATATACCAAATGACAGCTCATAACGAACTGCCTTTTCTTCAGTTTGAAAAGTGTTTTAAATGTTTTTCACACTTTTCTCGCTCCATAAGTGAAAAGGAAAATGACTTATAATTTATCTTTATTTGTGTCTCTCATGTGTCTCTAAGTCGCCGCACATTTTGAGTCCAAATTCAGAGCCGAAACTGTGAGGAAAGGACTCGAAGCGAGAATTAAATGCGAATCCATTGGAGACAAGTCTGTCGTTATATTTCTCGCAAATGCTTTAGATTTTAATATAACTTTCCTTTTTAGACCCATTACTATCTCGTGGCTTAAAGACAAGTTGACATTCAATCCACGCGATGATCCACGATATGAGCTCTTGGAGGCCATTGTTTCCGATGGAATCAAATCAGAGATTGTCATCAGAAATGCCGACCGAAGGGACAGCGCTTTATTCAGTTGTGTCACAACCAATGCCTACGGACACGACGACACCAACATTCAGCTCATTATGCAGGGTATCTGTGCTCACAAACACTGCATTTTAATTAAAATATTATCTCAACTCCTACTCCAAACACTGAACTTGTTTTTGAGATTTATTTTCATGCTCTAAATTAATAGACTTTTGTCTTATCTATTAGCGAACATATGGGAGCATATCGTATACCACCTCAAAATGTTTGCACAAAATAGTCATTCAATGCTTTTATATAATGTATTACACAATGAGAGCGAGTGTTAACGCCATTAATATATAAAATGGGCAAAAATGTATATAAGTGTATATAAGTGTATAAAAATGTATATAAGTGAATGGCGAAGGCGTTAACCATATATTAAATATTTATAAAATAACAATAAATGCGAGGTTTTTGTTTAAATAAAATATGTATTTCCTACCCAACACTTGCACGTATAGAGATCCCTGGGCGCTCTTGGATTCCTTGGTCTGTCGCGCGATACAGGTATACCGTCCCTCATCCGTAGCCCTCTCCAGATCGACGACAGTTAGGGTGCCGTTTGGGAACACCTTTTGCCGGTGATTATAAGGAAGACGTACTCCTTCTGCACAAAAGACCGCATCAAAAGAGTCATCAATTAGATTGAGGTGTGATTTGAGTGTAA